TTTGGCAGTGTGTGTGTGTGTGTGTGTGTGTGTGTGTGTGTGTGTGTGTGTGTGTGTGTGTGTGTGTGTGTGTGTGTGTTAAAATATTTTATAGTTGTGAATATTAATTTTTTATATTAAGCATAAAGAGAATTGCTGGTTACTTAAAATAATTCAAACCTGGTTTACATAAAAAAAAGAGATCTGTATTAAGGTATTTTAGTAGATATCTATTTTTATGCCTACACGTACGAATCATTTCATTTCTCTTGTTTAATAACCTAGGTTTATCTAAGTGTTTTAAAATAACTAATTTTTCTAAAAGGTATCATTTATATTTAATATATATTATTCCACTATAAGACTTGGCTTATATATATCCATATATATGTGAATTGACCACGTGCCCAAACACTAACGAATTCCATCTACCTGGATTCGGGGATTTGAGATTTTTCCTAACTCCCGACTGATTGACAATTATGGCTGAGGTGCCCAGGCAAACCTACGATTTAATGCATAGGTAGAGAGGGAAGCGTGAAAATAGATTCCCAGCTACCATTACATCATTCCCACATACACACACACTCATATAACACACTATAACACATATATATGTATATATATATATATATATATATATATATATATATATATATATGTATGTATTGTAGTGAAATATAACCCATTACTATATATATATATATATATATATGTGTGTGTGTGTGTGTGTGTGTGTGTGTATACCCGAATGTAAATAATATATAAATTCTAACGTTTACAGTATTAATTCAAAAGATGGTTGAAGTGTTAAAGTGATGGCTAGACCTGAAAAATTTGTTTTCGACAAGAACGTTGATTTTAGGTTTTAGGCAAAGGATTTCCAAGCCTTCTAAGAGTGATGGGTTTGGGAGGAAAGGTGAGAATAGGTGATAGCAATACGATAAAAGATGAAGGAGGGATAAATTTAAAAGATAGTAGTACTAGTAATAGAGAATGTTCTTTTGGTTATTTTAAGTACTAACTCAGAGCTGAATTGCATATATTTAGGTGGGAGTTATCACTATTAGTTTTGTATTTAATGAATTTTTTTTGTAAATTAATAAATAAAGATGTGGAGATTTTTTTTTGTATTTTGAATAAAAAAGTTATTAGTTTTTTTTCTTTTTGTTTTTTTTTAACAATAAGTTTTAATTTAGAAATTAAGATATAAGTAGAAAGGTATATCAATGTATGGGACACTAATATCACTTTTATAAGCAAATGTTGATATATTGTCGGATTGCATAATGTGTACAATAAGAATGAGTGTAAATCAATTTATCTGAAAATATTACTAGAATTATATAAGTGCAAAAACTTTTTAAGAATAATAATCTAAGATAGATTAGTGGAAAGGTATATAAGAGGGTAGAAAGTATATCAAAGAAGGTGAGTTATAATTTTAAACGTTTAGAGCTATAGATTTAAAAGTTTAGCAAGATTGTAATGTTAGATCGTTAACATGCCAACAAAATACTGTGGTTTCATATCTTTGATTTAATAATTGTGTGTTGTTCAAAAGTATAATAATAAATAAAAGTTTTTCCTGCAAACATCATAAAACAATATTCGTTCAAAGATTTGCAGTTCTGGCTTTTTTTTAGGATTATCCATTTAACCATAGGTGTTTTTCCTTCCTCCTTCAATTTCCCAAAAAACATATTTAGAAAGTGATGTTATATGGCGCTTGCCTGCATTTGTAAAGGATGTGATTGTAATATCGATCCTTAAAAGATCTTCTAGTAGATCCCACATACAATTTAATACCCCTGGGGTTCTCATTTAATGTGATACAGCACATATATACAATAGATTTCGTTAAGCACCTGTTTGATAATGGGCATTGATCGGGGATTCTGCAATTACATCGTTCAGTTACTTGGGATATATTAGAATTTGTGTTTGGCTTGTGTTTATTCTCGTTATGAAGTTTCAGTATTCTATTGTTATTTTACTAAATAATTTTATCTAGATTCCTAGAACAGCTATAATTTATTTTTAAGGTATTGCGGTTGAAGATTTGACTTAATTTACTCTTCGTGGGAAAGTGTTTGTTAATTAGATTTTAAAAAATATTGTGTCCCAAATTTGTAGAGACTAATTTGTTAAAGAGAGATGTATATCAAATTATTCTCCTCCCTCTATTGTTTTATTAGATTAACTATAATTTTCTTTATATTTAATTTCGGAAGATCTGTAGCCGCTGCCGGTAAGGATTTTGTTATAAACAATTTTGTGTTTATCGAATATTTCTTTGTTAGAAGCGTGTTGGTTGATACGGCGATAAACAGACGATGGGATATGCTTAATAACTGGCGCTGGGTGATTGGAATTCGGATTTATATAAATGGAGTTAGCGTTATTTTTTAAGAAAGGTTGGAAATTATTTAGGGCTAAGTTTAAGGATACATCTAAGGCATCCCCTTTTTTATGTTAGAATGAATTTTAACCTTGTGCTGTAAAGATTTAAACACAATTTTACATGCGATTTGTTTACAAACAGAATTGTTCATAACCATTTTGATTCACACCAGTTGGTTGCATCGTTGCAGTGAGTAAATCGTTTTTGTCTATATGAAATACATATATATATATATATATATATATATGTGTGTGTGTGTGTGTGTGTAGTATTAGTAGTAGTAGTGTCAAACTGGGGGACATATTTTCGTTTTTTTCGAATGCAGAAATCGACAGACATAATACATTCTAATTAACAAATAGAAATGGGGCGTCTTTTTCAAATAAGAAGAACCCACTATAACAAAATCTGAATAATAAAAATGTCGGATTTTCAAATAAAACTATGAATTATATATATATATATATATATATATATATCTTTATATATACAATATCGGTGGGTGTCATGCCTGTGCTTCCTATGTATCGCGTCTTCACGAGTAAGTTTTATATGTGGTGTCATTACATTTGTTTGTTTCATCGAAAATTTTGAATGACATTTTATTGATTGTGTTGATTGAAGATTTTTTTTTTATTTTATTATTGTTCACACAAGAAACACTCCATATTGAGGGATACTGAATGAGGTTCCTGAAAAGGCGCGGGAAAGATGAGAAGCTTGTAGTGGTCGGGTAGCACTTTTTTTAAAAAAAAATAAATAAATATAAAGCTTCTGGAGTTACAAGCTGTCTGTGTTGAAGTTCTTCCTTAGCGAAGAAATACGAAACGAATGTGGATGATTTTGCTGTTTACATGTTCTATATCAGGTCCTCGTTCAGAAGGTGTGAACTGATGTAATTAAGGACTGTAGCCACTCTGAAATTTTGCCATGGAAATATTGGGGGGGCAGCATCTCTCCTTTAAACTCAGCCTGAAATTTCAAAAATATCTAGGAGCGAAGTAAGAAATGACATTTTTTTAAATCAAAAGAAAGAATACAGAAAGAAAGAGAATACTTCTCGGCCTTAACAAAAAACAACTCTGAAATAATACATATATTAGAGTACATTATAATTGTTTCAATCAGTCAAGTCATACAGCGCTCAGTAAGATATCTATCTATCTATCTATCTATCTATCTATCTATCTATCTATCTATTGTATGTATCCAAATCAGTTGTAACACCAAAGATGAACTGAAGGCAAGGTTTATGGCAGCATTCACCAACTTAAGCAAGGAGACCGTCCAGAAGATTTGCAGGATAGTCCGAAGTCGTCTAGAAGTCGGGATTAATGAATAAATTTACTAAATTTATTTCAAGATATTTTTGTATAATTTTGTTATATAAAACTGTTAAAAGGAGATGTCAGTGTTATTTTCATTTCTGAAGTACATACATAAAAAAAAATCTACACATTCAGCATCAAAAATTATTTTTTAAATTCCTTTATAATGTTTGAAAGTATAGCTAAAAGCGCTTCGACTTACAACACATTCGTAAAAAAATGTAAAAAATTATAACAAGAAAAGAAAAAGTTATACGAACGGAAATATTAAATAACTGATTGAGGTTTAAAATCACCGATATACATAGGAACATGGATGGAGAAGAATTGACATAGATAGATAGATAGATAGATAGATAGATAAAAATAGGCAGTGATAGAATGATAGAAAATATGGCTTAGATAGATAGATAGATAGATAGATAGATAGGAATAAAATTATACAAACATTATGGCTTAGATCGATAGATACATAGGAATAAAATGATAGAAACATTATGGCTTAGATAGATAGATAGATAGATAGATAGATAGGAATAAAATGGTAGAAACATTATGGCTTAGATAGATAGATAGATAGATAGATAGATGAATAGATAGATAGATAGATAGATAGATAAAAATAGGCAGTGATAGAATGATGAAAATATGAAGCTTAGATAGATAGATAGATAGATAGATGAATAGAATAAATTATACAAATGGCTTAGATAGATACATAGAATAAAATGATAGAAACATTATGGCTAGATAGATAGATAGATAGATAGATAGATAGATAGATAGAATAGATGATGATAGATAGATAGATATGAAATGGTAGAAACATTATGGATAGATAGATGGATGGATAGATAGATGGATAGATAGATAAATAGGAATAAAATTATACAAACATTATGGCTTAGATCGATAGATACATAGGAATAAAATGATAGAAACATTATGGCTTAGATAGATAGAAATAGATGATAGATGAATGATAGATGAGAAATGGGAATAAAATGGATAGAAAACATTATGATAGATAGATAGATAGATAGAATAAAATGGTAGAAACATTATGGCAGATAGATAGATATAGATAGATAGATAGATAGATAGATAGATAGATGATAGGAATAAATGGTAGAAACATTATGGCTTAGATAGATAGATAGATAGATGAATGAATGGATAGATAGAATAAAATGGTAGAAACATTATGGCTTAGATAGATAAGAATAAAATGATAGAAATATTATGGCTTAGATAGATAGACAGGAATAAAATGATAGAAACATTATGGCTTAGATAGATAGATAGATAGATAGATAGATAGATAGATAGATAGATAGATAGATAAAATAGACAGTGATAGAATGATAGAAAATATGGCTTAGATAGATGGATAGATAGATAAAATAGACAGTGATAAAATGATAGAAAATATGGCTTAGATAGATGGATAGATAGATAAAATAGATAGTGATAGAATGATAGAAAATATGGCTTAGATAGATGGATAGATATATAAAATAGACAGTGATAGAATGATAGAAAATATGGCTTAAATAGATAGATAGATAAAAATAGACAATGGTAGAATGATAGAAAATATGGCTTAGATAGATAGATAGATAAAAATAGACAGTGGTAGAATGATAGAAAATATGGCTTAGATTGATAGATAGATAAAAATAGACAGGCGATAGAATGATAGAAAATATGGCTTAGATAGATAGATAGATAGATAGATAGATAGATAGATAGATAGATAGATAGATAAAAATGGAAAGTGATAGAATGATAGAAAATATGGCTTAGATAGATAGATAGATAAAAATAGACAGTGATAGAATGATAGAAAATATGGCTTAGATAGATAGATAGATAGATAGATAGATAGATAGATAGATAAAAATAGGCAGTGATAGAATGATAGAAAATATGGCTTAGATAGATAGATAGATAGATAGATAGATAGATAGATAGATAGATAAAAATAGGCAGTGATAGAATGATAGAAAATATGGCTTAGATAGATAGATAGATAGATAGATAGATAAAAATAGACAGTGATAGAATGATAGAAAATATGGATAGATAGATAGATAGATAGATAGATAGATGAATAGATAGATAGATAAAAATATGTCTTAGATAGATGATAGAATGATAGAAAATATGGATGAATGAATGATAGATAGATATGATATGAATGAATGAATAAAAATAGACAGTGATAGAATGATAGAAAATATGGCTTAGATAGATGGATAAAAATAGACAGTGATAAATGATAGAAAATATGGCATAGATAGATAGATAGATAGATAGATAGATAGATAGATAGTTTTAGGTTGATAGATCTTATAACGGCCTACAGATAAGGATGTATACGCACGAAATTAGTTCTAGAAATATAAATTTACACTGCACATTTGCAGTGACATTTTCATATGCGTGCAACAGCATTCATTAGAAACTACGTTTTTCTACATGAAGTTAAATATTTGTATGTATATTAGAATATAAACATGATAAAAGACTCATTGAATTTTATTCATCTGCTTTTTCCATGAAGGCATTAAGAACCCATTTACCTGATATATATATATATATATATATATATATATATATATATATATATATATATACTATATATATATCCACTACATATTACATTTAATGAAATAAACGGACACCACATAGATACCTCACACGCACCACACATACATACACACATATATATATATATGTATGATTGAGCTTCTATTTTTCTTCTTTTAAATATGATTATTAATTTCTTACATTAATACTGTTGCTATTGTTGACTACTTCCTTTCCCATTCCATACTGTGGACTTTTTTTCTCCCTTCTCTGATGACGAACGTTTATTTCGTGGCCATTTTCAATAATGCTTTGCCAATGGGTTGACACGAAGAGTCTCACCCAAGAAATCTGTGACAGAGTTTCACTTCTGATGGCACGCCGGAGTTCTTCAACAGAGAGTTCTTTACTTCAATTGAAGGATCAAAAGAACACTGCGATGCAGCCTTACTGTAATCAGTGGACATTGAGACGGCATCATTTCAACAGAAATGCGAATTTGGAATTTTATCTCAAAAGAACGTAATCAATATATATATATATATATATATATATATATATATATATATATATATATATATATAGGTGTGTGTGTGCGTGTGTGTGTGATAACATATATTTGAAAATATATATGAAATAAATGTTCAATTAAATTTAAGCAGATATTTTTCATACGATATATCAGTATGTGGTTTTGGATTAAAGTCTATTAAAAAGGAGTATATACGTCACTATTTTAAAACTTAGCGAAAGTGTTTTATTGGAATCGATACATTTTCGTATAAGTTCGTACATGAATATACAATTAAGTTAATCACTCTCAATTTCAGTGTGTTCACATCTATCTATCTATCTATCTATCTATGTAAGCCATAGTTTTATAGCTATCTATCTATCTACCTATCTATCTAATCCATGTTTTTCTATCATTCTCTCCCTACTTTTATCTATCTATCTATCTATCTATCTATCTATCTATCTATCTATCTATCTATCTATCTATCTAAGCAATATTGTTTCTATTCCTTTCTATCTTCTATCTATCTATCTACCTATCTATCTAAGACATATTTTCTATCCCTTCTATCTATCTATCTATCTATCTATCTATCTATCTATCTATCTATCTATCTATTTATCTGAATGCTGTGGATTCCGGGCTGAAATCCAGACCAATAAATAACAAACGCCAGGAATGAATATATGAAAATAATGTATTAACGTAATTATACAAACTGGTAAAGCAGGTTAGTAGCAATATATATATATATATATATATATATATATATATATAAAGTCTTTGGTATTGAAGTATCGCTGTATGACTTCTTACTGAGTCTATGTGCTCGCTAACTGTGACTCCTACAACGCTGTTACCTCACCCTCACTCTTCCTGTTACCTACAACATTTTACTCTGTCACTCTGGACTCGACTCGGGTATTCACTGGCAGTAGTAGAAGTATACACTGGGTGAGTCCATTTGCATAAAAAGGGGTGGACCCCTCAACACTGAGTTTAGCTGGCAGGCCCATGCCGTTGAGCGAGATGTGGCCGTCACATTGCCCATTCAAATTCTTGAGCCATGTACGTAAGGCCGTGGAAAAATACAGTTTCGCATCCCTATTCCCTGAGTAAAGCAGAGTCGACCGTTTCGCTGCAAAGGGGCTACCACTGACGATACACCCATTGAACCCTAAGTCAACATGCATGATTAAAAAGTTTTAAAAATTTATAAGAAATCGGCTAAATTTATAACCTCCTGTTATTTAAAATATGTATTACATAAATTAATCCCAAACTGAAATATATAATTTAAATATTAATTACAGATCATCACAAGAAAATCTATGTATAGACACATAGATAATAAATCCGTTCGTATGTAATCCAAGTGGATCCTAATAATATAAAATATTAAAACTGATCCACAAAAAGGGCTCAATGTGTTTATTATAACAGAGCATATAAATTACAAAACAGTGAAATTCCAAATTTCCTCATGAGTATAAACTATTTCAATTAACGCCAATGTGTTAGTTTTGTCTGTTATTTAAAATATCAGACAGCGCTCTCCAAAAGATTTTGGGAATTGAGGGAAAAGACGCGAAGGAGAAAGGTTTGAACCTTCAGCCTGACTGAGAAATTATAGATTCAGCTCACACTCCTAATAGTCTTAGAAATAGGTGTTACCCTACGTTCAGAGGAGAAAAGTAAAATAATAAAATTCAATAATCAAAGCAAACTATTAAATCAAAGAAATGAATTAGTTCAAAAAGTTGACACAGGAAAAGATTTAAACTTTTATAAAATTTGAGATCTTACCTTATTTCTTAATTATCTGACCCTTTTAATATTATACTTATTTTTTTAGTCATTTCTATATTTGCCTTCTCCATATCAATCTTATCTCATAAACTTTCACTACTTTTTGAACTCCCTTTTATTTTTTCTTTATGCTTTTAATTTTGCAAAAAGGTTTTCTTTATATATATATATATATATATATATATATATATATATATATATATATATATTCTGGGTATTCTTAATATTTTAACTTAACTTTAAATTTTACATGGTTTATATAATTTGATTAAAGTACTGAGTAAGTAACGTCTAAAAAAGTCTATGTTACAAAGGCAAAACGGAGACAAATGTATGAAAGGCAGATTAAATGGCAGAGTTTTAATGTTATATATATATATATATATATATATATATATGTGTGTGTGTGTGTGTGTGTGTGTGTGTGTGTGTGTGTGTGTGTTTTTATTTTTTTATTTTTACAACCGAAGTTCATATTTTGTTATTATATTTTCAAGTCCTTTTTGAACCTCGCAGTCATTATCAAAGAACCAAACTGCCTTCTGTCTAGTAGTTAGAATTCCATTGGCTATGTAATTTAGTGAATGAAGGATAATGGATCAAATTTGAATTCGATTTGCAGATTCCACACCCCTCACACACACATATATATATATATATATATATATATATATATATTAAAGTGGATATTGAAATCAATACAAGCTGTTTCATGCTCAACGCAATCGTCAGGCCATGTATTTAGCATTAAATAGGCTGACGTCTTTTATTTTTAATGTCATCATCCAATTTTATATTTACATACTTTCCCTAATATTGAGCACTTTAACCCATAAATATTGCATTAACTTAAAACTATATCAAATATATATATATACATATATATATATATATATATATATATATATATATATATATATATATATTTATATATACATATACATATATATACATACATACATATATATATATATATATATATATATATATGCGTGTGTGTGTGTGTGCGTAAGGTGAGAAGGAATAAAGTATACTTACAATCTTCGTAATATTTAATATAAAAGTGAGCTCAATAAAAAGTAGAGCCAGTAATTTGCATTTGTCTGATGAGATGCATTGATATACAGCGAAACGCCTCTGCAATTGCGTAGCGATTTTGACATGTTTTCGATGTAATATCCTTAAATAAAGTATATATATATATATATATATATATATATATATATATATATATATATATTCATTAACTACAAATATCCTAATTTCTGCGTGGTTACGAAAACTTATTTGAAACATTATTTTCCTTTAGAAATTCAAATTCTTTAAGTTACATTTTTTGTAGCTTTTAGAGATGATTTTATTGTCGTGCTGGAGAAGCGACATCCTCTCGGACCTCGTGCATTATCAAAACACGCGAACGTCTTCCTCGTTTTAAAAAACTATTGAACAAGCTAGCAAACAAGCAAAACTAACATTTACATCTGCACATTTAGGCATATAAAATAATCTAATCTAAATAATATAAAATAATAATGTAAATTGCGTATATTTATAAACGAGATCCTCTCTTCTTGTACTGAATGCATTCACCTCTACGCACGCCTAAAAAAAGACTCGCCACTCGCTCAAATATTTCAGAAATATATTCTTATATTTTAACAATATATTTCAATTCTAATTATGAGTAAATTAATACATACGTATTTAAAAATATATCCATAATTCTATACCTTGATATATATATATATATAGAGAGAAAGTATATATATACATATATATATATATATATATATAATACTTCTCTCTCTCTATATATATATATATATATATATATATATATATATATATATATATATATATATATATATATATATATATTATCTCTCTATATATGGAGACTCATTTTATGTATTTTTTCTAGATATGCATAAACAAAATATATATGTATGCACATACAGCCATATTTCATTTATACCCCTTTCTGCTTTTCGTTATTTTTTATACTTCTGTATCACATGCATTTGTTAGACTATCAAATGTTTCGCTTATTTTTACCTTCATTCATTTTTGTTCAAGAATAAAATGAACTGGAATAAAAAATAAAGAAGCGAAAACTTCACAATTCTTTTTCGATTCCAATGTTATACTCCTTATATCATCTTCGTTAGGAATCATTCAAAAAAGTTTCACTCTTTAATATCAATAGAAACTATGAGTGGATTTTTTTAGCCCCGTTACAGAATTCAACGCCGTGTGCCAAGAAATATTTTCATCGCTTTTATATCACAGCCGTTTCCTTCTCACAGCTGGTCACCTTTTTTCTCATGTCAAATGAAGCATTCACTTATCCGTTTTCTATATGCTAATCATCTGGCAATATGATCCTTGCTGGTGATCGTGTTCGTCAAGTAAATTTTCAAGATAGATAGATAGATAGATAGATAGATAGAGTGAGTGAGTGAGTGAGTGAAAGAGACAGAAAGACAGAGAGATGTTTTAACTTAAAATGAAAGCAAC